ATAGATAGATAGATAGATAGATAGATAGATAGATAGATAGATAGATATAAAGATGATAGAGATAAAGATATAGATGAGTGGATGGATAGGTACATAAATATGTAAATGGGTGGATGGATAGATGATTGATAGGTAGATAGATTGATAGATAGATAGATAGATAGATAGATAGATAGATAGATAGATAGATAGAGTGATGGATGGATGGATGGATGGATATGTAAATATTAGATAGACGGATGAGTGGATGGATGGGTAAATAGATATGTAAAAGATGGATGGATGGATTAGATGATAGATAATAGGTGAGTAATGGATGGATAAATATGTAAACAATAGATGGATGTGGATGGATGGATGGATGCATAAATAGATATATAAAAGATGGATGGATTACACAGACAGACAGACAGAAGGACAGATATAGAGATGTTTATCATTCTATGTCGGTGAACATTGGAACCATTCTCTATCCTTTCCCAGAACAACCAAGAATTTTTGCTTATGAACACACAGGTCACTTGTTTTGGCAAACTGCAGCCCTGTTCATGGCCAGCATCAACTGTTGGCCATTTAGGGCAACATGACCATAAATCTCAAGGACATGATGAAAGCCACCCCCATTACCCTCCATTAATGATTGACAGAAGGTAGGCATGGAAAGGACATCACTTATCTTTTTTGGAGCCTTCACAAGCTCAGAGTCCATTGTACCTTCAAGCAAGCAGGTTCTTGAGAACCTCTGTTGGGTCACTCAACACAGTAAGTGAAGTTTACACAATATTTTTTTTTATCTGAATTGTGGCTTTTGTATAATTCTAGCCCAATGAATATTTTCTTGGAAAAATGCCTCCTAACTCCCCAGTTCTCTCTGGTGTGTTTTTCCCCCACTGGGTCAAACTATTGCTAGTCAGTACTAACTGGAGATCTTGCCACGTCAGCAATCAAACAAGGATTAGTTGATATTTCTTGGGTTCATCTGTTGACCTGGGAAGGCAAAAACTCCCTGGATGGGAACTCTGCAAGTTGGAGATCCCTGCTCTACACGAACAAACACATCAAAATGGTCATTGCAAGAGCATTGTGCTATTTTAATACAATGTTCCACAATTTGGGCAATTTTAACATACGTGGATTTCAACTATCAGAATTCCATACTCCTTGGGGAATTGTGGGAGCTGAAGTTCACACACCTCAAAGTTTACTAGCTTTCTGGCTGGAGAATTCTGGGAGCTGAAGTCCACATATCTTCACACTATCAAGGTTGAGAAACATTGATTTAAATGCTTGGGATGATCCGACTTGTAGCCAGGGGTGGGATTCTACAGGTTCGCACCTATTCGATGGAACCGCTTGTTAACATTCTAAGCAGTTGGAAGAACCGGTTGTTAGAAGAAATTACTGGCCTAATCCTGTAAGGAAGGCAGGAAGGAAACATTCTGGTGTTGCTTAGAGAAATTGCCTCTCCATTAACCCTTATTACATTCTCGGCAGGACTGGACTTCCTGTCTCTGGAACTTCTCTGGAGTTTTTTTCCCCCTCCTTTGCTGGTACTTTGCTTCTGTGGAGTGACCATTCAAAATTACAATGGCACTGAAAAAAGTGACATGACCATTTTTCACACTTATGACTGTTGCAGCATCCCCACAGTCACGAGAGGCCAGGCGAGGAGATGCGTGCCTCGATGTGAGTGATGTTGAGTTGGCCACACTCAGCCAATAACATGACCACCAAACCACACCCACCAACTAAGCCACATCCACAGAACCAGTTGTTAAAACATTTGAACCCCACCCCTGCTTGTATCCCAAGATTGTCCCAAGATTGACCATCTTCTCTTATCTGGGATGAGGTTGTGTTTGGTTTTTTCCCCCTCATGTAGAACTTCAGGGACAATGGAATTTCCCTCAACAAGGAGGACACTGAGACAAGGCCTGTTCATGTCATGCTGTGTTTATTGTTCCAGAAAGTGGATCATAGTTACAACGAGGTGCAGGGCTGGATCAGCAGAGCCATATCAGGGTTCTTCCTCAAGCGAGCCTATCCACTTCTTCTAAGTTTACCATGCCCTACGGCCACAGTCTCAGAGAGCTGTGGGTGTCCCATGGGGGACCTTCAGGACTTCATGTTCTTTTGTATTGTGTTGGAAATGCTAGCCAAGCTTTGCTCACCAGCCAAAGACATAAACTTGTTGCTCCTCTCAATGGCAGGTTCGATAAGCCCTTCATTCACCGCTTGCACAGGAGGAAACTTCTTAATTCCATCTACCATGTCCGCCACTTTCTGTAATTGATCCTTCACTGCCTCCTTGCCTTGATTAAGAAGAGACTGGCCGTACTGTTGAGCATCCTTGACTAAGTGACTAGCCTTGCGGTTAAACAGTTTGGGTGGGATGTGTTTTTTCCCCGTTTCCGCTAAGTAGGCCACAGCATCAGAGAGATGTCCTCTGTGGAAGAGAAGACTCATTGTTATTTAACGTTCAATACATTTAATAACTGATATGAGCAATGGTGACAACATAGCCATTACATACTTGAGCTTTCTATCCTCTTAATTTCCCCACCACCACATTTATTTACGATCATGGACCAGAATACAGCAGGTGAATTTCATTGTTTTGAAAAATCATCTTCTGACATGGGAAACCTTAATGATATCCAAAATGTCTTTAAAAAAAAAAAGTGTCCTGAGAATTGGACAACCATTGGGTTTCCCGCCCAAGCAGTGGGTTGGACTAGAAGATCTCCAGGATCCCTTCCAACTCCGTCATTCTGTTAATTTATCCGTAAAGTAAAATAATATATTCTCTTCCCTGATACAATTCCCTTATAGAGTGATCTCTAAGGATGGGAAATGTTAGGTTGGAGCATCATGTATCATTATAAAAAGCAGCTCAGCAGAACTTCAGATGTTGATTCAAAACCATTGTCCACCCAAAATTAGATTCAGTTCCGCCATATTTGCCATATGCCTCTTTTCTAGAACTATTAATGGCATGGCACTAGAATGTAGAACGTAAAATAATAGGGTGTTCTGACACAAACCTTGTTCCAAGGAAACCAACATGAAATGGAGGTAGCAGCAAAACCTTTTAAGGATTCTTTACAAATTCTGTTCCTTCACGGTTAAAAGGCTGTTGCAAACTAATTGTGTCTGATAAGAATGAGCCTTGCCAAGGTTGTGCAAGGCTGCCAAGGACACTAGATAAAGTTGCCAAGAAGTATTTCAAACACAAAGAGTCTCCAAACATAAACTAAGAGAGTCCGAACGTCCACAAGTGCAAAAACTTATTTGCTTCCTGCAAAGAACTCCAGATTCTCAGCTGGCTTTTTATCTCTTAATGGAGGGGCCATCACCTTGCAGCCTTACTCCCGAGTTGCCCGTGCTGCTGCAGCTGCTCTTCCCTTCAAGCAGCCCTGCGTGCACACGGACTGGGCACAGGCTCCTCAGGGACCTCTTCATCACTGATGCCAACCTCCACAATCTCCGAAGGCAGCACTCCACTCAGTGGCGGGATTCAACCAGCGTTACTACCAGTTCAGTGATTACGGTTTGCATAATAACTTTATTTACTTAGCTTATCAGCTGGCTGGTTTCCATCTCAAGTTTCACTCTTGTACAGATAGTCCTTGATTTACAAGCACAATTGCACCAGTGGTTAAGTGAGTTTAAGTGACTTACAACCAAAGGAGACAGTTGTTAACTGAGTTTTGTCCCAGGTTACGGATCCTTCTTGTCAAAGTTGTGAATTGAATCATTACAGTTGTTAAATTAGTCACCCGGCTGTTAAGTGAATCTGGCTTCCCCATTGACTTAGCTTGCCAGAAAGTCGCCAAAGGGCATCTCATAACCCAACAGATACTGCAACCGTCATAACTACGAATCAGTTGCAAAAACGGCTGAATTTTGATTGCGTGGACATGGGGATGCTGCCACACGGTCAGCGTTGTTTTAGCTTCTGCAGCGATTCACTTAACAACAAATGTGACAAGACAGGTCATAAAATGGGGCAAACCTCACTTAATAGGTGTCCTGCTTTGCAAGTTTTTGAAAAATTGGACTCAACTTTGCTCATAAGTTGAGGATAAGATGTCGTCTTTGCAGGGTGCCTTTCCAACGTCTTGAGGTTACAATTCCTAAGTCCCATTTCCAATGGTCCCTAAGTGAAATGTTGTAAGTCGAGGTCT